TCAGTCATTGCTCTCTAGGAATTGTTGTACTGTAGGACCCAGAAGAAGACCCACTTGTTTTCTGATGCTCGTAATGAGTTTCAGGCATTAGTGACCTATATTGGATTCAAACCAACAGTCGACAGGTAAAAGCTCTACTATTGCCAATTTATTCAGCAATCCAGGCTCAGCTTGGGTTTGGAATGGAGCTTTTCAGTTAGAAAAACAAATGAACCAGCTGTTCCTTGGGCAAATGTGTTATACACAGACACTTGAGCTCCTTAAATTAGCTAGTCTCATTGCAATGCTAGATTTTGGTTTGTGTCGTCTTAATTTTTTTTTTCTGCAGCACGTCTGTCTGGGGGAAGGGAAGAAGAGATGGAAATCTGCTCCGTTTTTAAGTTCTGGGCGTTTCTGAGCAATCTTCCTTAAAACTGCTCAAAATCTTAAAGAAATAGAAGGCACATCATGAATAGAAAACAAGAAATTTGCTGCTTTTTCTGAAGAGAATGGTATGCAGCTTTAAAGAAATGCCAAAATGCATTAAAACTTTTTATGTTTTTGGAGGAGTGTGGTCATATACGCCTGACTGCAAAAGTTTACCTTTGTGTCATTTAGGTCTCTTAAATCGCTAGTCCTTTCATGTGCGGAAGGGCAAGTAAGTCCAAACTCTGAACTGCTTAGAGGTGGAAGCAGTATCTCAACCAGTCCTTTTCTAGTGTTTTCCCTTACCAATCCAGAGAAATATCTCCATCCTAATAATCTCAGTAAAATGAAGTTTTATGGCCTGCAGGGCAATTAATTTCAAAATGTTCCAGTTCTGTATGCTTGATGATCACATCTGCTTATTTTTCTGCCCAAAACTCTCAAGCTGTCTCCTACCTGGATAATAACCAACAAGAAGCTCTGCCTTGCAGCTCCTTCCAGAATTCTCCAGTCTCCAAGTTGATACTACTTTTGAAGTGTTAAAATAATCCCATCCACTGTGGTTCTAGCATTGTATCTTCTGTTCTGTCTGACTTGAATCAAGCCTATAAAGTTAACTCCATAACTGTGTTGCAGCATCGATACTGAATGACTCTAGAGGTTGCTTGACAGTGTAAGTCTTTAACTGGGGAATTCTCAGAGTAATGAATTGGTCAATGAGATCCTCAAAGCACTCCTTAGATCACGTGCCATGGCACCTTAATTCTGAATGATAGAAAGTTGGAGAGGATTAAGGTTTGGGTGGGTGGGTTGGTTAGTTTGTTGGTTCTGTCATTGGCTTTCCTCAAAGGCAGTTCTTCAGGTTGCTACCAGGATGTTTTGTGTCTGAGTTTATTAAAGTCATGTCAACATCTAGAGGAGTATTTAAATACAGAAAGAATACTCAAGTATATGAAGTATTCATAAGCTTAATTTGTCCTCTCCTCAATATTGTGGTAAGATCTCTTTATAATATCTTGGTCTTTCATGTCCAGTACAGAATCCTTCACCTAGACCTGCACGCCTGCCACTCGTCCTCTCTGCTGCTTTCTTCCTGAAATCTGCCCCTTTTACGTGATTTCTTTGTATGATCCAGCAGTGAAAATTCAATGTACTGACTCACTCTAGGCTTTGACGTCTGAACCTGGTCTGGTTGCCTGATGCAGCATCCAGCTGCAGCATCTGGGGAAGGAAGGGGAAGCAGGGAAGGGGAAACCTGTCCTCGCACGGCTCCGAGCACCTGCCCGCTGGTGGAGTGCGGTGCTGGCAGGGGAGGGCGCAGGGCTGCCTGCCTGAACTGCGAAGCCTCTGTTTGCGTTGCTTTTTCCTTCTCCGGTTTACGGGAGGCTGCATCCTTCCTATGCCGTAACTGGCTGGTGAGGATGCTTGTTGCCTAGGTAACGGGGAAACACACCCCCCAAAATTATTTTTCTTTTTTCTCTGTATTTTTGGCATTCTTTTAGTGCCCCTTCCTGCGGAACAACTTTTGTGGCCCAAGCTGATGTATCTTGCAGGAAGGATCAGAAACGTGGGTTTCAATTATAACAGCAAAATTACGAAGGGCTTTGTAGTTCAGATGTTTAATTTCCTGCGTGCTTTGCACTGCGTAAGGGACGCTGCAGCGAGTGCCTCGGTGAAGAGCTGCCATCTGGCTGGTGAGATAGGCCTTGCCGTGGTGGCTGCGGGTAATTCAACCACTTTCTGTCTTCCTCTCCGATAACTTGTGTTTTTCTGCATCGCTTAAAATAGCTCCAAACTCACCGCGCCTTTGGTTAACGCATTCAGCCATCGTTTCGCTTTTGAGCTCCCACCAACCTGACACCCCTTCACGCTCTGCCTTTGAGTTTGTTGCTGCTTATGACATCTTGAAGCTTGTAGCAGAGCCTGACCCTCTCCAAAGATCACTTAACTGAAAGCCTTGTAAAGCTGAGCGGGAATTAGCTGGCTGAAGAGGACCGGGCTGTGTGTGCACAGCTCCATGTCTCTTTGGAGGTGAGGACCAACACCTCCGCATCTCCTCCCTGGAGCTCCGGCTTGGCCTTCAGCAGGCGCGGTGTGCTGGTGAGGAGGTGGTGCCATCGTAAAGTCTCTTCTGCTCAGGATAGTCATCTTCTGTGCTTTAATCAATATATCCAATCTTGAGAGTCGTTGAGTGGTACGTAATAGGACTTGAGAGTGTTAGAGATGTTTTTACCAGTACGAGTGGAAGAATGGGATTACCGGTGAGATTTATGGTAACCTGTTGTTATATTAACAATTTGTCATAAACAGTTTCTCAGCCTGGGATGGGACTGTGCAGTTTTTATCAGCAAGAGGTTTCCTCTACTGTGTCTTTTTTCTTTTTTTTTCTTTTTTTTTCTTTTTCTTTTTTTAAAAGACGGACCTCCAAGTTAGCTGCTGTTTCAGAGGATTTTTTTAATATTGCTTATCTGATTATGATTAAGCAAGTTGGTGTTTATAGCATATGCTTTGACCTTGATGTTAGTTCAGCTGGGCAAGGATATAAATGATGAAGAAATTCCTTAGCAAGCTAACCCCATTGTATTTAAAATTAACTCTTTGATATGCTATTCTAAAATAGGAGCTTTTAAAGAAAGATACAAGTTTAGTTGCTCTGGCTAAATTTAAAGGCTGTTGAAGTTTGGATTTTTTTTTTTTTAGCAGCAAACTACGTCTACTTGTTTCTATGAACTGTGATCCAGAATTTAGTACTGTGACATTTACTAAATAGATCAGGCGTACAGAATGAAATGAACATTGTAAAACAAAACTGAAGTACAGGAGCTTCAGGCCTTGCTCTGTAAATCACAAAGTACTATGAAAGGTATGGATCCAATACAGTTTTGATAAAAGCTGCTTTGCTCTGAGATTCATAAACAATACAAGACTGTAATGAGTTGAATAACTATATTTTTCTGGATTTCCCCTTTTTGTTTTGTTTTCTCAATAAATCTCAGGGCATAGCAGCCTACAAACAGAAAAGTCTCAAAAGCAGCTGCACCTAAACATTGATCTTTTAGCCAAAGATTTCCTCTGTGTGTTTTCATCAACACAAATTATCCTTAAAAAAGGGGGGCTTCTGTCTAAAAGAAAGGTTTGCAGCACAAGATGCTGCTGTCACAGTGGGCTGAGTGACACAGTATGTCCCCAAATTATAATTTTATATTGCAGTGATTTTGCTGATCAAACAGCAAAGTTTAAGACAACTCACTGTCAGCATGAAAAAACCTCCAACTAAAAAAACCACCTTTAGTTTCTAAGAAGGAGCAGTTGGGTGTTTTGTGCAGAACTGCCGAGTCAAGGAGTTTTTTAAATATTCTGTAGCTCAAGGACTTGGCTCTTCTTCAAACATTTCCAACTACAAAAGGATGGGTAATCTTGCAAGTGAATGTGCCCCCTCTAGGGGCAAAAATGTGGAAATTTGTTATAGCAGGTAAATTCAAAACAGGGGAGAAGCGTTTGCTTAAGAGTGTGACTATCTGGGTTTTTTTAACCACAGTGGGAAGGGATTTCGGCTGTGATTTAGGATGCAGCTTCCTCTGCATCTCGGCTCCCTGGCTTGCTGCAAGGGGTGACGTGCGCTGTATGCAGCAGGGCTCTGCTTTCAGCCTTCTCTTACTTTAACTCTTAAAACATATGAAAAATGTGCTGCTGTTTTTCCAGGGCAGTTCTTGAAATATCTTTATAAAGCATGTCTTATACTGTGAAAAAGTCAGCTTGTATTTGTAAGTTCAGCATTACAATTCTTGAGCTGTTCTGTGCTCGTTGTACCATTTGGATAAGAAGGAATGCCATATGCACACGGCTGCCCGGTCGTCTTTAACACGAACGCCCAGATTATCCCGAGGAACCTCTCGGGAGTCTAGGGAAATAAAAATCCCTCCTGAAACTTCAGGGCTTTGAATACGGGAGTTACAGATGCTGTGCAAATGTAAAGTCTGTGCTGGGTGTCGTTGCTGTGGCGGGGGCACCACGCTCCCGAGTTGTCTGACTTGGGTGGTCGTGTTTGTTCTGGCAGTGCTTGCTAAAACATGAGTCCTATATGAAACCGTTTCAGCAATTTTTGAATGTTTGAGAAGTTACAAAATCTTTCTTTCAAAGGCCTTTGGTCTTTCCCATTTTGGCTTTTCAGAGCTCAGGTTCAGGATCGTGTAATTCATCCAAGTGGCATTTTCTGGGTGCACGCGTGCCCTGAACCTCAGGCTGTGCTGCTGGTGAAATACTCCTTTTTTACACGACACATGGGGAGAACATCGTCCTCCCTTATCTCTTCCTTCCTGCTGCTTTTGAAGTTTATCTTGGTTTATCTGGAGGGAGAGGTGCGTTTGACTTTTAGGGGGTGCTTTTAAGTCAGCCCCAAGTTTCCATATGAAAACAAGGTGAAGCAATTTTTAATGAAAACTTCAGATTTTTTGTATCAATCCTTTAAAGCCTGAATTCAGATCTCATTGTTCAGATGGTTTAACAGCAGGGTCAGCTCTTCTGAGCATGACCGCTTCAATTTTAAATGTGAAATGCATTCATGTTCATTTTTTTTCCCCTCTTATCTCCTAAAGGTGCTCTTACAGAGTGTTACGATGAACTGGGCAACCGGTACCAGCTTCCCGTCTACTGCCTCGCCCCACCTATCAACATGATAGAGGAGAAGGGTGACCTGGAGACTCTGGATATTCCTGATCCCCCACCCAATTCAGGGCACGAATGCCAGCTTCGTTTGCGCCTGTCCACAGGCAAAGACCTCAAACTCATGGTCCGCAGCATGGACACGGTGTACCACATGAAGAGGCGGCTGCACGCAGTGGAGGGAGTGAGGGCAGCCAGCGCTGGTTCTTCTCGGGCAGGCCGCTGGCAGACAAAATGAAACTGGAGGAGCTGAAAATCCCAAAAGACTACGTGGTGCAAGTCATCGTGAGCCAGCCCTTAGCAAATCCCACCCCAGTGGAAAACTGATTTCTGCTTGTTTATTGATTCTTCTTTCCTCCGTCTCTGTCATGGGGTTTGTTTTCACTGCCCTCTCTTCTTTTGGTTTGTCCTCGGGCAGGCCGCTGGCAGACAAAATGAAACTGGAGGAGCTGAAAATCCCAAAAGACTACGTGGTGCAAGTCATCGTGAGCCAGCCCTTAGCAAATCCCACCCCAGTGGAAAACTGATTTCTGCTTGTTTATTGATTCTTCTTTCCTCCGTCTCTGTCATGGGGTTTGTTTTCACTGCCCTCTCTTCTTTTGGTTTGTCCTGCTAATGGATTGGTTCCAAGAAATGACCAGCAAAAATTCCATCTGTGATGGAGATCTGCAAAAACAAAACATAAAAATGTAAACTGGCCTTTGGGGTTTGCCTGATCTCATATTTAACACAACAGCAAGCAGCACAGGGCAAGGGCAAAGGACGGAGCAGGAAGGGGAAGGGAAAAGGGAGGAGGTACAAGGAAGGAGGGAAGAGATTGTAGTATACTTCATAAAAAAATGTAATGATTCTTAAAACTGTAGGTGGTGTCGTGATCCATGGAGCCAGAGTAACAGAGAGCACTTCTATTTAAAAAAAAAAAAAAAAAAAAATTTAAAAATTAATCAATTTGTAAAATTTCATATCAGCACCACATACAGTTCATGCAAGAATCGCAGCCACTCTGGGTAGGTCCCGCGCTGCGTGTTGACGGGGATCCTTTCTGGTTTGACCTAACTCGCCTGCTTTGCCCAGGCACTGCGGAGCTGGGCTGGGGGCTCGGTCTAAGTCCTGTGCGGGCGGCTCCTGGCGATGCTCAGACCAAGCAATTGTACATTCCAAGATGGCAACGGAGTCCTGTGCCATTGCTGGCTCCCGAGCTGGGAACGCAGCCCACCGGAGCCTTAGGCAATAACTTAGTCAATATATACTCTCACGTACTGTACTGTAAACTTACTTGCTACAAGACTGACTTAGCCTGAAGTTTACTGGCTCACCGGCACCTGAGTACGTGCCTGCCAAATTACTGTATATCACTCAGAACATTAAAACAAATTTTTATCAGGCTAGCTAAGGTGAGTGATGCACTGGCTGCGCTGAAGCGTTAGGTGCATCACCTAGGTCAAATGGCACCAGTGTTATAGGTCCAGGTTAAACTGCAGTTACACCCAGATGCAATGGATTGCAACTTCCCCTGCTCGGTTTGTAGAGGGCACAAAGCATGGAAAATGGTAAGGAGGACACGACAGCATACGGTTTTCAGCTTTTGATGTGAGTGTCGTTTGAAGCAGCAGCTGGTCTTCTAGCTCTGGTGACTCTCCAGCCAGGACAACTGGAGGTATCCTCACCGACACGCACCCGCGGCCCAGAGCGGTGACAGTGGAGTTTCACAGCCAGTGCTTTCCCTTCAGAATGTAAGAGGAGCCCTTTTGGCAAATGACAAATCCTTCCGTAGTCTCAAAAATCTGAATCGGAGCATATTTTGGGGGGGGGAAAATCTAATTGCTTGTTCCCTGAGTTAGCGATGCTCTCTGTGTTCCTTTGGCTGCTCTTGCACCCCTGTCTGGTAATGCCTTTGGTTGAGATCAAATGCCCTGTTCCTTTTAAACATGATTTCTAGTTTGCTTGTTTTTTCAGCCATCATTGAAATTACTTCATTTCTTCCAAAGTCAAATGTGCTATTCGGGTATGAATAGTATATTTTTATTGGTTTCCGTCTTCCCTCTCTGAATCAATGGTCTAAAGCTACAGTTGTCCCAGCTCTTTCTCATCTACTAGTGAAACTGGTGGGTTACATTGACAATTTTAAACTTGTTACTTTTGCTCCTTCATTAATTCCATAGAACTCAGTTTCTCGGACTCAAAGGAAGTTCTTGCTCCGTGAGCGTCAGCATAGAGCCAGAACGAGCAGAGGTCGCTTGTACAACATCGCAAGTTTTTCCCAGCAGGTGGAAGCAGGTGCAGAATTTACACTGATGGTTGGAAAACAGATCCATGTTTTATATGCATTTCTCACCCTACCCAAATAAATATAGCTCTCTTTTTGGTCCCCGTATTGTATTGTCCCCGTTGTATTAAGCCTATGGTTTTCTGAAAGCTCCTTTAGCCCCTGTGTAAAGAAAAATTAGTTCCCTGTTCTCATAAACACCAAAGTGACTTGGTTTTCTTTTTTCTTTTTTTTTTTTTAAAGATGAAATCAAAGCTGATAAATACTAATCTATAACAAAAGTTTTCTATTGTGGAGTTTTTCTAAGACAAATATGATTTACTATACTGGGTTTTTGCAGCCAGAACTTTTGCATTCCAGAGGGGAAAAAAATATTTGATCTATAAACAACTCAATCTCTTGGATTTTCGCTGGGCAATGGATGGTTTCATGCCAGGAAGACACCACTTGTCTTGTAAGGCATAACTTACATCTCTGCATAAATGGTCTTTAAGATGTCATTCCCCTGCAGTCCCTTCTGGAAGGGGGGAAATTGTGATAGATTAAGGAGGAGCAAACCAGGGTGACAGTTCTGTAACTGTGAACACTAAAACACTACTTCTTTTTGTAGGATACATTTTGTTGATTTTTGTTTTCTTTTTCTATTCTCATTCGGGCAATTGTTACCATATACTGTTTTTGAGATTACAGCATGTAGGGGCTGGGAGAGCTCCTTCTTTCCCTCTCCCCCCTCTTAGTTGGAAAAGGTTCAGTTTTATTATGCCATAATAGATGACCATCTTCTGTATTAATTGTTTTTATGTCAGGGAGCAAGGTGATGATCTGAAGGCCGTGTTGCGAGTGGGCTTTGAGTAGAACAGAGAATTGGTTCATGAAAGTACTCTATTCTCTAACAGCCTCTTCCCCTCTCCTGTCCCTTAAGCACATATCTAAAACTGAAAAAATTCAATGGTAAACTGCTTTTCTAGGTGAAAGTGAAGACTTTTCAACCTCTTCTGTATAAAATGACAGATGTGCTAAGCACATACCCTGCTGGAAACAAATTTTACAAGATTTGTATTAGGAAAGAATTCTAAGTTTCAAAATATAA